GGTGGAGGAAGCGGTAATGTAGAAATTGAAGGTCACTATCTTTCAAAACTCAGATGTGACAATTTGACCGTCAACTCTGACAATGTCCACCGTAGGCACCACAGAAGGTGATCAGCACGTGAATTGGTTTGCAGTGACAGCGGACTTGCGTAGCACCTAGCACACCCTCTCCTCCTCCTTCACCTGGGTTCCGCGTCAAGACCGAGTGAAAATGCCTGAAGATGGGAGAGGACGCAGGTGGCTGACAGAGCGTAAACCCGCACCTAGGCGTAGCACCACTCCCCTAGTTCTACGATGAACACTGCTGGGATTTTACACAACAAGAGGAGAGGGGAGGGAACGTTCGGATCCCACGACGTGGGGATGTCATAGAGGCCAGGTTAAGACCGTGCCCTTGCAGCTTGACTCTACGTCCGTCAGTCGGCCAGTCCACACAAGCTCCTCCTTGGCTGACTGCGAGGTCCAAGTCATCCCGTCAACTGGCACTCTTCCAAGCCACGACTTTTGGCGCACCGTGATAGCTTTGAGCGTGTCAGATTTTTCATAGCGATGAAAGTGCACTGAGTCGTCGATCTCACACTCTATTCCCATTAACAAGCATCAGTCCACTGTCCGACACGGTCAGATGTCTAACATGGAGAATGGGCACAGTGGGTGGAACCCTCGTCTGTGCGTAGCACAAAAAGGACCTGCCCCTCCCCGTCCCCCACCTCCCCAATACAAACACCAGGATTTCACACAGCAGGGCTTGGGCAGCATGGATCTCACGTACGTGTGAGTACAAAAGTTCACATTTTGAAGCGCGCATTGTAGCCTGACTATCAGTCCAACAGTCGGCCATTTGACAGGAACACACAGTGGGCTGACTGTGTGGCCTGAGTTCCATCATCATTTGGTAACTTTCCAAACCATACCGCTAAACGCCCAGTGACAGTATCTGGCTCTGATCCCACATACTGCAGAGGGGTGAAATGAAGAATGAGTCGAGGAACACACTTCCAACTTGTGGGAGAGATAACATTTGCGTGCTTGCATTGCGTGATGTTTGGTGTGGTCATGTGTGTTGTAGGTAATGGTAATGAGCGACGTTGTACAGAAGAAGAAGCGATCGCTGGAACAAGGGCTTTATTCGTCCGACGTTTCGGATTCTCCCTTGAACCCATCATCAGAGACAGTGACAGAAATGGGTGACTCGTGCACAGGAAGTTGCAGTATTTATAGGATGCAGTCGCTATACTACCACATACCCATAGTAATAAACCGCGTCCCACTTCATCAAGGATTGTTGCCCGCTGGTGCCCTAATTGCTTGATGGCCGTCATGCAAGTTGTTAATTGCTGAAATCTCATTACCCGTGACGAACGCTGGCGTGATGACTGCTCGGCCGTCCGGCTCACCGGCTTACGCACTCTCCGAGTGGTCAATTACTTTGGCCAGCCTACGCCTCAGCACGGAATATGGAGTGGAGATGTCGTTGCACTTGTTGATGGACTGAGATCACGTGAACCATGACTCAAGCAACACGCGGCTCACGCGATTATCCTCTCTAGCGAGAATGACGGTCTCATCGAGCTTGAATGTGTGGCCGGGTCTCGTCGAAGGGGCCACGACCTGAGAGTTGGAGTCATTTCTCCGTACCGCTGCCGCGTGTTCGGAAATTCGCGTCTGGAGCAGTCTCTCAGTTTCTCCGACGTGGTTACTTTGTCCGCAGCTGCACCAGATCCGGTAAACGACTCCAGATGTTTCCTGCCGTGGCAGTGGGTTTTTTGGTCTCATCATCTCCGGTCTGTGTTCAACTCCAACCCCAAGTAGTGCGAGAGGGCGACTAACGACCTCGAAGACGTTCTTGATGTACGGGATCGCTCGCCAGAATTTGGGTTCGGCACGATTTTGTCGTTCGTCTCGATTGCGCATGCACCGGTTGACGAAGTTGCGAGGGTAACCATTTTCTCTGAAGACCCGTCGAAAATACTGAACTTTGACAACCTCGTCTTCCGGTTCACTGCAGTGCGTCTGAGCACGCCGATATTGCGTTCTTAAGCAGCTGCGTTTGTGGCTGATTGGGTGGTTGCTGTTGAGGTTTAGTACTTGCATCTTATTCGTCAATTTCCTGAACACTTTCGTCTTTAGGCCACCACAATCTTTGCGGCAGACGAGGACATCAAGGAATGCCAGCTGGTTATTTTCCATCTCCTCGATCGTTAATTGTATGTCCGGGAAGACGCTGTTTAGACGTTCTTTGAACGTTAACACCTGATTACGTTTGATGACGACGAAGGTATCGTCCACATACCGAGCCCAGAATTTCGGTCTGTGGTGTTGGAAGACGAGCGACTCTAACCGCTGTAGGGCCGCCTCGGCTATGAATCCCGAAATCAGCGAGTCCATTGGTGTTACCTTCACACGCTCATAGATTGTTCCGTCAAACGTGAAGTACGTACTGAGACAGAACTTTAGGAGCTGGATGATTTGAGCATGTCCGAGACGATTCTCCGCTTCTTTGTATTTGTTTCGTAGGAGTAGCTCGACGGTCTCGATTGCCAGATCCTGGGGGATAGCAGTAAAGAGGGACGTGACATCAAAAGATACCATGACCTCATTTAGCAAGAGACATACTCCTTTAAGCTTCTCCAGGACTTGTGTTGGTGAATTGACAGTGATCCGAATCAGCGGTCAGAAATTCGAGGCGCCGAGACAGCCATTTTGCTAGTCCTTATGTTGGATTAATGACCGATTCCACTGCTGAAATCATGTTGACAGGTTTGGCGTCAGCTGTGTTGAATGAGGCCTCGTGCCGAAAAACCTGTACCTGCTCCTTCGTCAGATCCTTTGACGACAGGTTGTGTACCAGTCTGCCGTCTATGGATGAGGTTGGATCAGGCAGTTTGTGAATTTGTTCCGCAGTGCTGCATCGCGTGTCGCTCTGTGCTCGTGGGCTCGTGCACCCACCTTCTGATGAAGCATATTTGCGCCGTTCTCACCCATGAACACACAGCATCTGGCCTTCTCTTGGCCAATTCTCTGACGGTATTTGCGAATCCTCGCATGGTAGTCTTGAAGGAGCACGCGGATCATACGCCTGCGGTGCTGCAATACTGCGCGTCTCGCTAGCTCCGTGTTTACCGGAGGTTTGTATGAAACACACTTCGGCAACACGTTGTTGTCGAGACACCTGTGCAGAAACCGAATCCGGGCATAAGTTGTGGCCTCTTGAAGGGCAAACTTTTCCCATGGTCGGGCCGATCGGAGCGCGTCGCGCCAAAAAATTGCCGATACAAGCGAAGATGCGAGTTCCAGGAACTAGTTGATCAGGAGAGGAAGCGATCGCTGGAACAAGGGTTTTATTCGTCTGACGTTTTGGATTCTCACTTGAACCCACCATCAGAGACAGTTGCAGAAAAGGGTGGCTAGTGTACAGGCAGTCGCAGTATTTATAGGATGCGGTCGCCATGCTACCGCATACCTATAGTAAGAGGAGCGCTGTTAATTAATATAGGTATGCGGTAGCATAGCTACTGCATCCCATAAATACTGCAACTTACTATGCACGAGTCACCCGTTTCTGCCACTGTCTCTGATGAGGGGTTCAAGTGAGAATCCGAAACATTCGGAGAGATTATTGTCTGCGTATTTTGCCCTTGTATTTCATAACATACTGATTCTGACTTGACATCATTACAAGCCCCGTCATCCAGTTCTTTTGGCATGGCTTCATTTGCTTGTCTAATCACTCAAATTTGCTTGGCGTCTGATTCCATTACAATGAAAATTAACCATAAAAGACCACAAACCGAGTGATAAATATGAATAATGTCCATAGGCATCGCAGACCCAGTGGATTTCGTCGGTCATGCCGCGATGTCATTTTGATAAATCTCAACATAATATGCCCTCGTAGTGTGACGATTCTACCTTTTACTCGGGGACAGCATTCATCTGCACAGTTTTTGGACTTAATTCTCTCGTCTTTCTACCTGTGCTCCATGATGCCTAGATCAAAACCAACCGACAGAGCATTCATAGCATTCCACATCACGAATTTCATACATTGCAGTTTCATCCGGTGAATGAATAGTCATCATATAAAGTGCATACCATATACTGGGTATTAATTTAAACACCAGAAAAAGTCAGATCGCTTGTCGTGATCAGGTTGATTCCCTCCTGCACTTGGACGACGAAGAAACATTAGTGGATCATTGGATTGGCTGCCGTCTGCACGACCAGACGGGTCGTGACCTTTACGTCATATCTTAAGCCAGTGTGGAAGGAACAGGTTCCGTCAAATTGTTCTCGAACGAATTCGTACGGAGGAACTTCTTCTCCCGGAAGTTTGACAGGGCGAACCAAATAAAGAGCATCAAATGACATTAACAGCGTTCAACGGTTTTGCGTGTTTCGTCCAGCTGCTTATACCACATATGGTGAGAATTTGTATGTCTGCCGAAAGGTTATTTAAAGGCCACAATATATCACTCACAAACGCAAACTAAGCGTGCTGTTGGGAATGGATTGGGCATGGTCGTTGACTCGAAATCTTCCTTTGACGAGCGGAAGGTGTGTTCAGTCTCGAGCGGAAGTATTATACGCGGCATATATGGCAGGCTATTACGCTGATACAGAATTAAGGAGTAAGGCCAGTTGTCAATTCCTCAATCGCGCGTATCCACAACCACCGTCCACAAACTCCTCTTCGCCGACGACTGCGCCCTCAACGCCACCTCCGCCGCCGGCGAGAGCTTCGGTCTGGTCATCAACACGGAGAAGACTGTGATCATGCACCAACCGCCACCCAACACAGCCTCTCCCCACAATGCGCCACAGATTAGCGTGAACGGAACCCAATTGCAAGTGGTGGAGAACTTCCCGTACCTGGGCAGTACCCTCTCCCCCAGCACAAAAATCGATGACGAAGTCGCTCGCAGGATTTCGAAAGCCAGTCAAGCCTTCGGCCGCCTTCGACGCACAGTCATGGTCTCCAGTTCAGCACAAAGCTTAAGATGTACAAGGCAGTCATTCTCACGACGTTGCTGTACGAAGCAGAGACTTGGACGGTGTACACGAAGCAGGTACGCCGACTCAACTACTTCCACCTCAGTCGTCTTCGTCGCATTTTGAAGCTGAGGTGGCAGAACCGAATCCCCGACACCGATGTACTGGAAAGGACGGGAATTCTCAACATTTACACCACGCTGATACAACTGCAGCTGCGTTGTAGCGGCCATCTGGTGCGGATGGACTACGCGAGGCTACCCAAACGACTCTTCTATGGAGACATCGCCGCGGGTTCCCGCCGCCAAGGATGTCAAATTCGTCGCTACAAGGATACCCTGAAATCCTCCCTGAAGCGTCTGCAAATAAACCCGACCAACTGGGAAGACCTCGCCCACGACCGAGCGACTTGGAGGAGGACAGTGAAGACAGGCGCTGCGATGTACGAAGACAACCGCATCGCTGCCACCAAAGTTAAACGTGAAGCACGCAAATCACGGCAACGCACAACCGCCTCCAACGTGTCCACGGGGACAACTGACATTCCGGATCAACTGCACTACTCAGACGGCACAACCCGTCGTCCCTCCGTTCGCCTCTTCCTCGTCCTCTCCGCCGTCAATTTACTCTGACCGCTCTTCTGAACCACAATTTCCATTCCCCTCCTCCTCCACCACCAGCACCGCCGCCGCCACCACCAACTCCTCTTCTTCCATCGCCCCCATCCCTCTGCCGTTGTGGCGTCTGACATGCACATCAACACTGCACACAATCCTGACACAACACAAACAGCAATACCACCACCGTCGACACCAGCGTTGAGGACCGGGATTTCACCTGTCCTCACCGCGACAGCAACTTCACCTCACGTATCGGCCTGGTCGGTCATTAACGAATCAATCGCACAGAGACTGGCGAACCAGGACCTGAAGCACCTACCTACACCCGCCGCACCCACCTCCACTGTCCACACTGCCCCCTCACATTCATGCACCGCGTGGGTCTATTCGACCACATGCGCATCCACGAAAACCTGTGGTAAACAGCCGCCAGCTGCACCAAATCATCAGATCACCACTCATCACCATCCCACCACAGATCCACATCACTCACCGCAAGCGCTCAACTGCCACCTCCCCCGCAAGTGGGAAGTGTGCGCCTAGACTCGGTCTCCATGTGGCTCCTCCTGTATGGGTGACTCGAGCCTAAGACCATCCCGACTCGTCAAGCGTCGCGGATAGGAAGGCGGATGATTGACGCCCCAATTCAGTTCACGCAGTCCGTCCAGTTGTGTGTGTGTGTGATGTGTGGAGAGTCGGACTGCTGGACTGGGGGCCGGGCCGATACAGCTCCTCACACAGCACTCTCATGCATATGAGAACGGTGTGAGGTGTTTACTGCTCAATCAAGTCTACCAACAGCCATGCCTGCGC